TCCTGGGGATTTGAGGGCGGAGCTGGGGGAGGGAGAGATTGATCTCTTGTCTGGGGAGCAGCCGGGAGATCTCCAGGTCCCACCTGGAGGTTTATCAAACAAGCATACACTGTGATAACAATGACACTGAACAAATCTTATGGATGTCAAATTATATTACAAAGGAAACTTTTTGAGAAGTACTGAGACTGAGGCATCGCAGAGTGATTCTCAGCTCATACTTTTACTTTGTGATTTCAGAAAAAAAGGAGATACAGTCGCTAGCTCGCAGGCTGCTTATATGTCCATTCATAACCACACCCATCACACACACAGAGACACCCGTGATAGGCTATATACAAGAGTTACAACCTTATAGGTCCCCTGTACAATCCCTACTCCCCGGTGGTGGGTTTTAGGATCCTAGGGCTCTATTGACTCTGGTAGCAAAGCTTTGCTAGTTTGTGGGACCGCGTGTGTGGCTCAGCCAGTACACAACACTTTTACAATATTACTAAGGAAATTCTAAACTTCTCAAGGAAAAGTCCATCATCCGCAATGAGCACCCGATTATAAACTCGTTTCACCAATCTTCCTCAGGAGTAATTATGTTGAAAGGTTTCAGCCTCTTGATACAGTTTAACTTCTTTTTTTTCTTTCTTCAAATTGTCTTCGGGTTCCATTTTCAAATCATTACAGCATTTTTACTTTCTTCAGATTTTTACAGCTTAACTTCTTTTTTTACTTTCTTCAAATTAAATTCTGGTTCCATTTTCAGATTATTACTGCTTGACTTCTTTTTTACTTTCTTCAGATTATCTTCTAGTTCCATTTCAAGTGTTTCAATTAGGAGCAAACCAGTTAATTGATTTCAAGTCGTAGCAACCAGTCCTCTTTTCTATCTAGCAAGAAGCCTTCTTTTTTTAAATTGGCTGGCAATTGCTCTTGGTCTCAATGCTGGCTCAGTTGTTCTCTAGTTGTTTATAGTGGTAGCACCTTTTTATTGAGAATGTTAGAATGTCCTTAGTAATATTGTCATTTTTATTGCAGTGTTTGTTTGATATGTTTCCTTGTAACTGTGATCCCTTTTGGTTCGCCCACCTGGAGGTTGGCATCCATAACTCTGCTGCTGCATCCATGTATTCTACAACAGGAAATGACCGGAAAGCCGGGAGAGCATTTGGTAACACGGAGCTGCGGTCACACGGAGCATTAGGCACGCTAGAGAGATGGAAGATAGGCTGATTTTCCGGGCGTGATCTCACCGCCACATCTGGGAATCGTAGAGCTCCCGTGGCGAACCCGAGGCTTCCCGCCGAAGACGCGCGGTTAAAAACTAGTACCTCGGAGGTACTAGTTTCCGGTAACCACGGGGCAAGGGCGGGCGTCAGATCGCATTTCCGGTGGTAGTTCCGGCGCCCACCCATGCCCCCTCGTATAAAGGTTTGTTTTTTTTAACTGTCCATGGGATGCGCACACTTTGGTGTCCGTAAAACAAAACACCCGTTTGCCGCGCCGCTTCTTTGCACCTTCCAACTTCCACGGGACCTCCACGGTACGTCTGCTGGCGCAACCGCGTGTTATTTTGCCCTGGGGCAAACAGCCACGCCTCCCCCCCACGATATCTGGCCCGTGTGACCGGGGCCAGAATTAGACAGAACTGCCCTATAATTCGTATTCATGTACCTTTATTGGAATATTGGCAATCACAACTATAGAATAGAATAGAATAGAATAGAATAGAATAGAATAGAATAGAATAGAATAGAATAGAATAGAATAGAATAGAATAGAATAGAATAGAGAATAGCTGCCTTATACAATACTGTCAAGTACACAAAATGTATCTCTGCCACCACTGAAGGAAATTGCTTAAAGAATGTCAAAACCCAAATACTTTGTGAAGCCGTCCCGTGGCCTCACTTCCCTGTTTCATTTCCTTCGATAGCAAAGGCAGGAATGAGTTTAGGGCTGGGCCTCCAACCCTTCACCAGTACGAGGGCCCTGCTGGGTTGCTAACCTTCAGGTGAGGCCTGGAAAAATCCCGGAATTGCAATGGCTCTCCCGACGACTGAGGTCAGTTCCCCTGGAGAAAACGGCGGCTTTGGAGGGTGGACTTTATGGCCCTGTACCCCGCTGAGGTCCCTCCCCTCCCGAGATCTGGTCCTCCCCAGGGTCCACCACCAGATCTCCAGGAGTTTCTCAAACCAGAGTTGATCCCTAATGGGGGGGGGCAACCCCATCAAGGGTGGCCAAGCAGGGAGCGTCAGCTGGCTCCAGCCAGCCCTCAAAGTAAATGTTGTGTCCTTGAGCCAGTGCTCTCTCTGTTTGGATTCGGTGCAGTAAAGGTGTGAGCACACACAGAAAAACAAATTATGGTGCACTTTTCACTGCGGGCAGCGTCACTTGCTTTGGCCAGGCGTAAAGATTGCCAGCTGCCCTTCAGGCGGAGGTGGGGTCATAAACAATGGAAATAAATAAAACCGCCAGAAGCCGGCTGGGAAATCAAGGTCAGCTTGCCAGGGAGTGGAGCGTGTGCACCACAGTCCGCCATGGGCCAGACAGCAGCCACACAGCACTGACCAGGGGCACAGAAGTAAGTGATATATAAGCCACGTGAAACTGAATTAATCGAGAGGGCTTTTGGCACAGGAAACAGGGCTGCACTGTAATAATATGGTGCTGATAGAAGCTTGCGGTAAAAGGTCAGGGCTGGAGACCGGGAGTCCCCAACCTTTTTGACCCTCCAGGCACCTTTGGAATTCTGATGCAGGGTGGTGGGTGCCGGCACAGTATGGCTGCCACAAAATGGCTGCCGCAGGAGGTGGAGCCAGCCACAAAAATGGTTGCCGTAGCTTTACTTCAGGCAACGCAGTGAGGATCCTGTCGCTTGTTACAGTCCTAGATTCTGGGTTTGGGCCACCGTGGGACACCAAGTGTTGGAGTAGATGGGCCATTGGCCTGATCCAACATGGCTTCTCTTACGTTCTTCTGTAGATTCAAGTTGAGTAGCAACAAGATTTTCAGGGAATAGGATTTTGAGAGTCAAAGCGCCCTTTCTGAAAATCTTGTCCGTCTTTTAGGTGCTCCTGGACTCGAACTCTTTACTATCACAGTTCTCTCAGAGCTGTCCTTGAGAAAGAGCAGTTTCTGTCAGAGCTCTCTCAGCCCCACCTGCCTCACAGGGTATCTATTGTGGGGAGGGGAAGGGAAAGGAGATTGTAAGCTGCTCCGAGACTCCTAGTGAAGGGTGGGGTATAAATCCAATCTCCTCCTCCTCCTCTCCGATGCTTTTTGCTGTTCTAATCTCATTGAAGCAACACAGCAGCCTGTAGCAAACACAGTTTGTTGCAGATCTAGGGTTACCAACCTCCAGGTGGTGACTGGAGATCTCCCACTATTACAACTGTTCTCCAGGCAACAGAGATTAGTTCACCCGGAGAAGATGGCTGCTTTGGAGGGGGGACTCTATGGCGTTCTACCCTGCTGGGGTCCCTCCCCTCCCCAAATCCCAGGCTCCCCAGGCTCCGCCCCCAACAAAACACTTCAGGTATTTCCCAGTCCAGAGGGGGCAACCCTGTGCAGAGCACAAATCAGCCAGTGCACAAATGCAACTGGCATCAGGTTTAGGTGGCTTACTGATAAACCTGCAAAGGAAGTTTAGAAAACTTTTTGAGGGCCAGAAGTTAAAAACATAAGTAAGTGTTCAAAAGAGTGTTTATTACAAAGACATATAAAAACCTAGTGGGGGCCCAAATAAAGCTTCATAAAATGTTCAAAGTTACAAAATACACACACACAAAAAGACAGTATATGACAGTATAGTGCAAATTTTCCAAAATTTTCCATTTTGGTCCCATTTTTTTAATTGTTAATTGCCTTACATGTGTTACATGGACTCTGTTGCTTGTTGTATTTTGCACTATTTAACCTCTGAAGAAGGCTCTTGTGAGCCGAAACACATCAGGTCATATACTTTCTTTTGTGTGTGTGTATTTGTAACTTTGAACATTTTACGAGGCTTTATTTGGGCCCCTACTGGGTTTTTATATGTCTTTGTAATAAACACTCTTTTGTACACTTACTTATGTTTTTAACTTTTGGCCCTCAGTAAGTTTTCTAAACTTCCTTTGGAGGTTTGTGCTTTGTTGGTTTAGATTTTCTCCCCTCTTTTTTGGGGGGGTTTACTGATACAGCCAAATCCAGCTCAGCCATCAGTTACTTTGCCAATGGAGCAAGGGATGGTTCTGAATTTCTTATCCTGGCATTTTGGCCTCCCAGTCCCTATTTTGATTTCCCTTCGCTCTTGAGTGAATCAGACCCTTGGGCTGCATCCATTTTGCTAGCAAAAGTGTTTCCCGCACTGACTGAAGGCACCTTTCCCAGAGGCAAGAGACTTGGAAGAGCGCAAAAAATTGTGTCATTCTGGGGGAGGAAAGCACCTGCCTGAGAGAGCCAGTTTGGTATAGTGGTTAAGAGCGGTGGACTCTAATCTGGGAGAACCGGGTTTGATTCCCCACTCCTCCTCCACATACAGCTGCTGGAGTGACCGTGGGTCAGTCACAAGTTCTCCCAGAGCTGTACTCTCTAGGGCAGTCCTCGAGAGAGCTCTCTCAGCCCCACCTACCTCACAGGGTGTCTGTTGTGGGGAGGGGAAGGGAAAGGAGACTGTAAACTGCTCTGAGACGCTGAGTGAAGGGTGGGGTATAAATCCAAACCTCCTCCTCCTTCATTCTTCAGAGATGCAGGATCCAACCCCGTGATTCTTTATTTACCTGCCGTTTTCTGTATCCCAGAATTTTTCCAGTAAAATATGCACATTGTTCATCTTAATGTGTGCGTTAATAAAGGCGGACTCCAGATGCTGCAAAATAATAAATAAAACAATCATTCTACATATAAATTACATACCCTGTATCCAGGGCTATTTTTGGGCAGGAACGCACAGGAACGGAGTTTTGGCTGGCTCCTGAGTTGGCCACGCCCAGCAGGAACTCATTAGCATAATAGGCCACACCCAACAGCAGGAACTCATTAGGATTGGCTACGTTAGGGGTGTGTAGCCTAACATGCAAAGGAGTTCCTGCTACAAAAAAAGCCCTGGGTTTTGACAACAAACAAGGTGAACAGAATAAGAAGCAAAAGGTGGGTGTGGCTGGATGACCACACTTCTGGTAACAAGGGCTGTGTGGCCTAATATGCTAGCGCGCTGTACTATCAGGGGTTTGGCCTAATATGCTAATGAGTTTCTGCTGTTGGGTGTGGCCTGTTATGCTAATAAATTCCTGCTGGGCTTTTTCTACAAAAAAAGCCCTGTCTGTATCTAGAAATGCCCTCTGACTTAAAAATTAACATGCCAAGCCATTAGCGGGAATCAATGAACCCAGAACCATTTAGAAAAATAATAATGTCCATCAGAAAAGAAAGGAGGAGGTGACATTTGCGCATTTCTAAACAGAAGATAGTGGCTGAACTAGATGGGCTCACGAGGAGGCTGACCTCACATGCCGGGGTGAATGTTCCGTCATTCTCTGTCATCTTTCATCCATCCAAAGAGTAATTCGCTTTTATTATTTTGTTCTGCTGTGGACTTTGCGCTGTGTCGGTGAAATGTGTGGTTTCCATGGGAATGGGATGGGATGCGGAAGTGAGGGCATATCAGTATCCCGCGTGTCTTTCCATCGATCCCAATAAGGGCACAATCGAAAGCAGTTCTGGAGCTGGTGTCAGAAGGCGGGCGGAGCCACCATGTGCCTGGGGCGATGAGTCTACGTCACCCGATTTATAGGGTGCTATAACTGGTATGTGGTCAGCCAATGCCCTGCCGGTCAACTGTGCATCATAGGAAAGGTCACCAATCTGCAGCTTTCTGCACCCAACCTTCCCCCTTGTTAAGGGAAGGGGGGAAAGGCCAAAGGGATATAAAGTGAGCTTGAGTGATACCTGTGATGTTCTACCTGTGGGCTGTTTGTGGAGTCCTTCCTCCAAGGAGTTTAGGGCAGTGAATGTCGTTCTTCCCTCGTCCAGTTTGGTGCAGTGTTTAAGTGTGCAGACTCTAATCTGGGAGAACCAGGTTTGATTCCCCACTCCTCCACTTGCAGCTGCTGGATGACCTTGGGCAAGCCATAGTTCTGTCAGAGCTGTTCTCTCAAGGGCAGTTCTGGAAAGAGCACTGTCAGCCCCCGTACTTCACAGGGTGTCTGTTGTGGGGAGGGGAAGGGAAAGGAGTTTGTAGGCCGCTCTGAGACTCCAAGTGAAGGGTGGGGTACACATCCAATCTCCTCCTCCTCCTCCTCCTCCTCCTCCTCCTTCCTCTTCCTCTTCCTCTTCCTCTTCCTCTTCCTCTTCCTCTTCCTCTTCTTCTTCTTCTTCTTCTTCTTCTTCTTCTTCTTCTTCTTCTTCTTCTTCTTCTTCTTCTTCTTCTTCTTCTTCTTGAAACCTGTAAAGAAATTTGCATACAGCCAAGCTGCCTTTGAAGGTGCTGAAGAGCTGTAAGGTAATTTCCAATTTTATAATTAAGAGTGGCTTTCCATTCCAAGGAGGAACGGCTATTTTAAATCTTTTCTTTTTCATCCCACATTAACGCAACCTCTTGGTTTACTGGTTTCATGAGTAGGCCATAGAAAGCAGTTGATCTCTGAAACAGAATATATGCAAGAAGAGGAATCTTCGAACGCGTGCACCCACCCCAGATGCCTCTGCAGGATCGAGAGGGTGGGTTCCCATAAATGCCTGCTGCGGTTTGTTCTGCAGCAAATCAAAGACGTTGTTGTCTCTCTCTCTCTCTCATGCGCTTCCTGTTGTCGCTCCCAAACAATCGGCGGCTTTATTTCTCTTGCTAGATTGCGGTATTGTTTATAGCCCTAAGCATTTTCTGAAGGGGTTTACTGCCCACTCAAAGCTCCCTCATAAAGACATAAAGAAATACTATAAGTGCAAAAGCCTTCCACAGTCATCATAACAATGAAAACATCATCTTAGAGCGGCAGCAGCCGAGAGATACAACCTCTGTCTTTCAGCATTCTTTAGGTTGCATCGCACAGCGTGGTGCCCGTTGGTGCCATGGGGCCTGCTGATGCCTTTCCTGGTACCCGCCAAGGGTTTTTAGGACGTGGATGGGGCCAGGTATGCCCAGCCAGGCTTCTGATTGACTACTGCAGATTTTTTTAAATGTTGCTTTGGGAGCGGCTGCCACCACAGCACAAGAATCTACACAGTATTACTGAAGTTAAGCTGCGGCGATCATGTTGTGGCTCATCTCTGGTGGCAGCCATTTTGTGGCAGCCATCTTGTTGCTGCGCCCACCATTCCGTGTCAGAATTCCAAATGTGTCCACAGGCTCAAAAAAGTATGGGGACCCCTGCATTAGGCCCTCTTCTCTGGCGGAAGGAATCACAAGACGTTTGTAGGCCGCTCTGAGACTCTGAGTGAAGGGCGGGGTATACATCAAATCTCCTCCTCCTCCTCTTCTTCCTCTTCCTTCTTCTTTTTCTTCACTGATCCACAGGATCCAACCCTCACCTTTTGGTATTAAAAGGCTGGTACATAGGGGTGAGCCAATGTGGTCATTTCTGTTTCTCTCTGGATCCTTTCCTTGCCACCGCTTTTGTTTCCAATCCGTCTCCGTGTCACGGCAGGTGCTGAATATGGCAGCCGAAAGCCAGAAGCCCTGGAGGAAGGGGACGAGACGACCGGAGAGTGAGGAGCCGCTCCAATGTGTCGGCCAGCAGCTGGCTGAGCCCGGGAAGTTTGCCTACGCAGCTCTCTGGGGCATATCGTTGGCGTCCTTGTTTCCCGGACCAGAAGACAGGTAAATATTTTGTTGCCGAAAAAGTCACCGAGGTTTTTAGCTGTTTGATTCCTGGTCCCCAGAGAGCATCTGAACGGGGGACGGGTCAGACTTTGGGAGTTAGAAGAGCTACATTTTGTGATTAAAAAATGGATTCTGGAAAAGATCCATTTGAAAAAATGAACACATGCAGGTGCCTTATACTAAATCAGACCTTTGTCCAATCAAAGTCTATTGTTGTTGTTGTTCTATTTTAAACCACCCTCCCCTGGAAAAACCAGGCTCAGGGCGGTATCACAAATACAACATCAAGATAACCAGGGGTCATTTCGTAGCAAAAGAGACATAGGAGCTCATTAGCATAATTCATTAGCATAACTTATTTGCATATGCCACACCCCCTGACATCACCGGAAGTTTGTCAGAAGGCAACACCCACCGCTCAGGCTCCACTGGACTGTTTTGGATTGCTAGCTATTGTGGGGGGGGACATGCAGATCTACCCTCACAGAGGAGGGAGAGCTTGTACCTGAAGGCAGGCGGGGGGGGAGCTCTGCAACTTACCTGGCTACTTCTTGCTCTGACAGAGGGCTGCTGGGAGCAGGGGGCGGGACTTGTTGCATGTGCCCGCCCCCTGGGCTCCTTACTGCCAGAGCTCCGCTCCTGTGCGCTCCCGCAGGAAATGACCCCTGAAGATAACAAATTAAAGCAGGTAAAAACACAACAGTATCCTATGATGGCGTTAACATTTTCCTGATGAAGCGACTGGCCTGGGGGAGGCAGGGGGTGGGTGTGCTAGAGAGACGGAACCGTCGCTGCCCTCAACCAAATGCCTGGCAGAATATCTCTGCCTTGCAGGCCCTGCGGAACTGTAACAGGTCCTGCAGGGCACGGATGTTATTCAGCAGAGTTCTACCAGGTTGGAGCCAGGGCAGAAAACACCCTGGCTCTGCTTGAGCACAGCCAGATATCTCTCAGGCCGGAGACCACCAACAGATTTTGATCTAATGAGCACAATGCTCTCCTGGCATGCAGAAGGTCCCTGGTTCAATCCCCTACATCTTCAGTTAAAAGGACCTTGGAGGAGGTGATGGGAAGGACCTCCGCCTGAGCCCCTGGAGAGCTGTAAAGAGGAGTTGTGGCTCAGTGGCAGAGCCTCTGCTTGGCATGGAGAAGGACCCAGGTTCAATCCCCGGCATCTCCTGTTACAAGGACCAGGCAGGAGGTGATGGGAAAGCCCTCCGCCTGAGACTCTGGAGAGCTGTAAAGAGGAGTTGTGGCTCAGTGGCAGAGCCTCTGCTTGGCATGGAGAAGGACCCAGGTTCAATCCCCGGCATCTCCTGTTACAAGGACCAGGCAGGAGGTGATGGGAAAGCCCTCCGCCTGAGACTCTGGAGAGCTGTAAAGAGGAGTTGTGGCTCAGTGGCAGAGCCTCTGCTTGGCATGGAGAAGGACCCAGGTTCAATCCCCGGCATCTCCTGTTACAAGGACCAGGCAGGAGGTGATGGGAAAGCCCTCCGCCTGAGACTCTGGAGAGCTGTAAAGAGGAGTTGTGGCTCAGTGGCAGAGCCTCTGCTTGGCATGGAGAAGGACCCAGGTTCAATCCCCGGCATCTCCTGTTACAAGGACCAGGCAGGAGGTGATGGGAAAGCCCTCCGCCTGAGACTCTGGAGAGCTGTAAAGAGGAGTTGTGGCTCAGTGGCAGAGCCTCTGCTTGGCATGGAGAAGGACCCAGGTTCAATCCCCGGCATCTCCTGTTACAAGGACCAGGCAGGAGGTGATGGGAAAGCCCTCCGCCTGAGACTCTGGAGAGCTGTAAAGAGGAGTTGTGGCTCAGTGGCAGAGCCTCTGCTTGGCATGGAGAAGGACCCAGGTTCAATCCCCGGCATCTCCTGTTACAAGGACCAGGCAGGAGGTGATGGGAAAGACCTCCGCCTGAGACCCTGGAGAATCACTGCCAGTCTGAGTAGACAAGACTGACTTTGGTGGACCCAGGGTCTAATTCAGTCGAGGGCAGCTGGGCTCAGCCGCCCGATCCCCACAGGCCAGCGGGCCAGTCCTCCTCTCACGGCCGCCCTCTTTGAAGCTCCTACAGGACCGAAGTCATCGAGCGCCTGGTGAAGTGGCTGGAGCTCTCCGAAGCTGTCTTGCCCGCCATGCTGGCCTTCGCTGGTGGCTTGGGAGGCGAGGGGACCGACACCTTTGTCCAGATCCTCCTGAAGGAGCCCGCCTTGAGCGAGAATCCCAAGAACATCACTCAGGTGAGGTGGTCTGCCTTTCTCAGGTCGGCCTGCAGACCCAGAAGAGGGGGACCGGTCTGTCTCTGGGTTGTACCCCCTCAGGGCACAGGTGGGGGCTGAATGCCCCTCTATATTCCCAGCCCCCAAAATTGCCCAGCTTGTATCTCCGATCTCACCGCTATCTCCCTTTACAGAGTGAAGCTGGTTTAAACCAGGTTTAGAAAGAGGAAACTTTTCACTATGGAGGAAAGCCAATTTCATACGACTGAAGGATATTGTACGTAAAGGACAGCCAGTCTGGTGTTGTGGTTAAGTGTGCGGACTCTAATTTGATTCCCCACTCCTCCACTTGCACCTGGCTGGATGACCTTGGGCAAGCCGTAGCTCTGATAAGAGCTGTTCTTGAAAAAGAGCAGTTTCTGTCAGAGCTCTCTCAGCCCCACCTACCGCCCAGGGTGTCTGTTGTGGGGAGGGGAAGGGAAAGGAGTTTGCGAGCCACTCTGAGACACCTTTGGGTAGTGAAGGGCAGGGTATAAATCCAATCTCTTCTTGTTCTTCTTCTTCTTCTTCTTCTCTTCTCTCCCCTGTTCTTCATCCCCTGCGTCTTAAATTGAGAGGTACACTCTCTCTGTACATGGAGGATCCATTGAGCAGTCACCTAACAGGCCTGTCCTCCAAGGGCTTGCCTGACCCTTCAAAGGGAGGGGTAGTGGCCATTGGCCCACCTGGGGCAATGGGTTCTGGAAGCTTAGCAACAGCCATATCGTTTTGTTTGTCTTGGGCCTCTTGCTGATCAGCTGACCCGGACTGCTAGTATTAGGCAAGCCGCTGAGCTGTTCCTCTCCCCCCCCCCCCAAGTCTGCGTTTCTCTGCAGGATGATTTTGGGAGCCGGGCCAACAGACAGAACTTCTCCAGATCAAAGAGCAGCGGGATCCCAAAGTCTGTTCAGGGCAAGTTGGGTAGAGCAGAGCAAAATCTAAGTAGGCAGTTTGGGGCTGGAGAGAAGGAGCTGGTCTTGGATCACGGAAGATGTCCTTTTATTAGAGCGAGCAGTGTTGGGTCAGCGCGTTCAGCGAGTGCCTCAGATGCAATCCGCACACAGCCTCTTTCAGCAACCCTGTAAGGCCGGCCGGAGTTACAGTCCACAGTCAAGCCGAGATTCGAACCCTCCACCTCTTAAGCTGCTGATGCTACGGCAGCACGGTGTGTGGCTATTAGTGCTGTAGCCAGGGTTACCACCGCAATGCTCCCTCTAAGCTGTGGAGTCATGTGAGCAGAAATTCTACTTTGTAAACTACTGGCATGAAAGTTGTGAGCGAGTGATTTGGCTACTGCATCAATTAGTTTGCCCTGGAGCCGTCTTTCCTGAGCTGCAGGCTAAAAAATGGTGAGCTAGCTCACACTAACTCAGCTTAGAGGGAACACTGGTTACCAGCCTCCAGGTGGGGCCTGGAGATCTCCTGCTGTGCCAACTGATCTCCAGTCGTCAGGTCTCCCAGTTAAGACACTCTCCACAGCACGCTTTGGCAGTGATTGTTCATTGAGATAGGCTTACTTTTAGGAAATGGGCAGAAAGTGAAGAGGACCTAAAGAGCCTCTTGCTCAGGGTAAAAGAGGAGAGCGCAAAAGTGGGCTTGAAGCTCAACATCAAAAAAACTAAGATCATGGCATCCTGCCCCATCACTCCTTGGCAAATAGAAGGGGAAGTCGTGGAAGTAGTGACAGACTTCACGTTCCTGGGATCCCAGATCACCACAGACTGTGACAGCAGCCATGAAATTAAAAGATGCCTGTTCCTTGGGAGGAAAGCTATGGCGAACCTAAACAGCATGATAAAAAGTAGAGACATTACCCTGCCAACAAAAGTCCGCATGGTCAAAGCAATGGTATTCCCAGTAGTCATGTATGGCTGCGAGAGTTGGACTATAAGGAAGGCCGAGCGCCAAAGAGTAGATTCTTTTGAACCATGGTGCTGGAGAAGACTCTTGAGAGTCCCTTGGACTGCAAGAAGATCAAATCAGTCAATCCTAAAAGAAATCAACCCTGACTGTTCCCTGGAAGGCCAGATAATGAAACTGAAGCTCAAATACTTTGGCCACCCTATGAGAAGGGAGCACTCACTGGAGAAGACCCCGATGCTGGAAAAGATTGAAGGTCAAAGAAGACGGGGATGGCAAAGGATGAGATGGTTAGACAGTGTCACAGATGCAACGAACATGAAGTTGAGCCAACTTCAGAGGACGGCGGAAGACCGGAAGGCCTGGCGTGATCTGGTCCATGGGGCCGCGAAGAGTCGGACTCGACTGTGCGACTGAACAACAACAAGGAAACGGGCTCCGTCTCAGAACTGAGAAAAAGGCGTGCAGAAGCCCCTATTATAGAAAATACAAACTGCACCCCACACCTCTCACATACATCACGCACAGCCCCTACTGTTACTGTGGCAACCCTGACAAATACATGGTGCCTTATCTATGTCCAGGCCTGGGAAAAGAGTCTCCAAGGCCAGCTCTCTTGGGAACCGGCAGTGGGGGGCAATCTTAAAGAAAGGCATGGCTGCTACAAGCATGCACTCAAAACACCCACACGCTCCCCTCAGGAATTCCCTCCCCCCTAAAGCATGGCAAGCCGTGAAGTGAAACAAGGTGAAACGAGACTGAAGCTTGACAACGGATCAGTCCCCCTGGAGAAAATGGCTGCTTTGGAGGGCGGACTCTATAGCATTGTACCCTGCTGAGTTCCTTCCCTCCCCAAACCCCCTCCACCCTAGACTCCATTCCCCCAAATCCCCAGGTGTTTCCCAGCCCAGAGATGGCAACTCGATTTGTAGCTAAATAGAGCCTCCATGTGCAGAGGCAGGATACCTCATCCTGGGGACGATTATTGCCACTGAGCCCTGTTTGCTGACTTCCGGGAGGCACCTGAGTAACCCATAATGTCAAGGACAGACTGGACTAGACGAATTGTGGCTGGATTGGCCAGGCAGTTCTCAGAGGTCTGGGCCTTTGGGTTTGAAATATGGGAGCGGCTGTTTTGCACATGCAAAAGCACCCCCCTGGGAGTGTGTGGGGATCGCTGCATCGAGCAAATATCCAGGGGCATTTTCTGTCTGTGGCTCCATTACACACACTGATTATACTCCAGTGGGGAGGGGGAGTGTAGTAGCTGTACTTTGTGCAGAACTCTGCACGTTCCCAGGAGCCTCTGCATTTAATATTTCTCTCTCTCCCCCTTTTCCTTTTAGGATCTCGTGGCCTTTTCTCTGAAGGACGGTGAGTCGTTTTGCTTTGCTCTGTTTTTGAGATGCGGCTGGAACGCGAAAAGAGACTTGTTGGATCAGACAGATGGTCCGTGTGGTTCAGCATCCTGTAGGGCTGCCAGGTCTGGGTTGGAAAATACCTGGAGACTTTGGGGGTGGATCCGGAAGAGGGCGGGGTTTGGGGAGGGGAGGGGCCTCAGCATGGTACCATGCCACAGAGTCCACCCTTCCAAGCAGCCATGTTCTCCAGGGGAGCTGATCTCTGTCAGCTGGAGATCAGTTGTAAAAGCGGGAGATCCCCAGGCCCCACCTGGAGGCTGGCAACCCTAGCATCCTGGATGTGAATGACCCTGGCAAGGAGCCCAGAGGAGGCCAAAGCTTACCCCACTGTTTGTCCCCCACCAGGGGTCATTTGGTAGAAAAAGAGGTGCAGGAGCTCATTAGCATAACATTTGCATATGCCACACCCCCTGACATCACCGGAAGTGTGTCAGAAGGCACCACTGGACTGTTTTGGATTGCAAGCTATTGGGGGGGTGGGGGGAACGTGCAGATCTGTCCTCGCAGAGGAGGGAGAGCTTGTACCTGAATAAAACTTGGCCTTAAAGGTGCCACTGGACGGTTTTGGACCGGGGGGCTGGGGAGGGGGGCCTCTGCAACTTACCTGGCTGCTTCTTGCTCTGACTGAGGGCTGCTGGGAGAAGGGGCGGGGCTTGTTGCATGTGCCCGCCCCCTGGGTTCTTTACTGCCGGAGCTCTGCTCCTGTGCGCTCCTGCAGGAAATGACCCCTGTCCCCCACACAGCAAGTGGCTCTCAGAGGGCGTCTCCTCCAAGCACTGAGGCTTCATCTAACCCTCACAGCTAACAGCCGTAGACGGGCCTCTCTGTGGATTTAGCCATTTCAGCAAAAGACTGTCCCCCCCCCACCTGTGGCGGTGAGTTCCACGGGTTAGCGCTGCCCCGTGTGAAGGAGGGCGAGCCCCCTGTCATTGCTCTGATTGCACTGCAGGCTCCTACGATGCCCGGCTGCGGGTGCTTCTCGCTCACGTCACCTGGCTGCTGAGGATTCCTCCGGTGGAGTTGGAGGCCGCCGAGGAGCGTCTTCTGGAATGCCTGAACGAAGAGGAAGAGGAGGAATCCGAGTAAGGCTTTTCACGTACATTGATATCTTTCGATATTACAGGTTGGATCCGTTGCCCTAGCACAGGGGTAGCCAAACTGTGGCTCGGGAGCTACGGGTGGCTCCTGGCGGCATCGCTGGGGAAGTGGAGGCGTGCCTCCCCGATCGGTCTTCCCTTCCCCAGCCAGTGTACCCCTCCCTGGGTAGGCTTGAGGCAGGGGGGAGCAGAGAAAGAAAGCAACTTCAGCTTGAAATGCCTTCTCAAAGCCCCCCCCCCCCCGGCAGCCTACAAATATCATTGGACAAAAAAAATCATCGATATCTATGTTTATCCCTTTTGTTTTTTATTTTTGGCAGTCTCGATTCATGTTAATAAAAAGCAAATCTATATTTCCCAATAAAAACACGTCTGTGATATTTGTTCACGTCTTGTGGCTCTCAAACATCCGATGGTCATTCTACGTGGCTCTTACGTTAAGCAAGTTTGGCCAGAAGCAATCTTTCTACTGGAGGAGAGCACCCCCGCGAGGACAGTGCATCCCCCGGGGTCCTGTCCAAGGCTCCCCCGAAGCTGTGGAGTCTCGTGAGCAAAAACTCTACTTTGTGAACCTACTGGCATTAAAGCTGTGAGCGAGCGATTTGGCTACTGCATCAATTGGTTTGCTCCAGAGCCCTCCTTCATGAGCTGAGACAAAAATGTGTGAGCCGGAGGCTAAAAAAACGGTGCGCTTGCTCACACTAACTCAGCTTAGAGGGAACACTGGTCATGTCCGAAAGATAGATTTTTATTTCTTTATTTATTGGATTTATACCACGCCCTCTCCGCCATGGCAGCTTTCATAATCTTTTCAAAACAATGTAAAACCCCATAAAATCTAAAGTGCCATGCATAAATTCCTGTATAATGGCGAATCATAATCCAATATGGCCGTGACAGGAATCAGTTAGTACAGACATGGTTGATAGAAAAGATCCCAGGGAAGGCTCCGACATTGTACCCAGATATTAAATGTGGCCAAATGCCTGGTGGAAGAGCTCCGTCTTGCAGGCCCTGCAGAATTGAAGTAAGTTCCGCAGGGCCCTGGTGTCCTCAGGGAGCTCGTTTCAGCAGTGTGGTGCTGCCACAGAGAAGGCCCTGGCCCTGGTAATGAATGACCACTCTGGCCTCTTTAGGGCCAGGGAGAACCAGAAGGTTTTGCGTCCCTGAACGCAGCGCTCTCTGGGGAACATAGACAGAAGGATGGGTGGATAACACGCATGTAGATGTGTGTATAATAGCTCAGTTTCTCTTGATGGCGTTGTACCGGCGACGGCAACCGTAGTGTGGCACGCACAAAAATATTGGGCTGCTGTTTTCTAGGGCAGGAGAGGTAGGTTTTCTAGGGCAGGAGAACGTTCCCTCTAAGCTGTAGAGTCTTGTGAGCAACAATTCTACTTTGCGAGCTACTGGCATTAAAGTTGCGAGCAAGCGATTTGGCTAACGCATAAACTAGTTTGCTCTGGAGCCCTCCTTCCCGAGCCAAGACAAAAATGTGTGAGCCAGAGGCTAAGAAGCTGTGAGCTGGCTCACACTCACTCAGCTTAGAGGGAACACTGCAACCAAGTGTTTTCTGTCCCCCCCTCCCACCATCCTCCAAGGAGATCTGGGTGGTATATATCATTCTCTCTTCTCTTCTGCGCTGCCCTCACAACAACCCTGCGAGGTAGCTGGCCAGCGTTCTCCAAGGGAGCTTCAAGGCAGAACAGACTGGAGCCTTACTCTTTCTTGTCCTCTACCCGCAACCCCCTAGCAGGCACGGCCTTCCCTTCGCCTGTGTGTCTTACCTGTCAGTATGGACAGCAAGAGCGGCTCTGGCCAATTAACTCCCGCCTCCCCAGGGCCTCCTCCCCCAGGTGAAGGGCATTTCCAAACCTTCCCTTCCCCTCCGTCCAAACAGCAGAGCAGCAGCTAAGTGTTGAACTCTGCCAAAGCGTTTGGTGACCACAAATCAGGATGTCCCTTGGCTTGAGTCTTGCTGGCCGTGGTCTTGAGGAAGCCGCTCCATTTCAGCCGCCATTTACAAAAATGGGAGTAAAGAAACTGGCTTGAATTTTGGGGCAGCTAAGAGGCAGTGTGTGAAATGCACCAACGGAGCGTGCTAATTGGGGCTGGGGGTCCACCCTGAGAAGGAAGAGGTTGAAGCGCCCTGCGCTGACCCAGCAGCCAGTTGTGGGTGGAGGCTCTGTTGACAACTCTTCAACTTTTACCGACTTCCTCTTTATGGCCTCCGCCAGCCAGGGGGCACAGGGCGTTCACTCAAATAAATAGTTCCGAGTATTATTGTGTGGATTTAATTGCCCCATTGATAAACCGTCGGCACGTATTAAAACGTTTGCTGTTTTTCTTGCGCAAGCCGCTGACCTTGTGGGACGCATCTTCCGGGTAAGTAGTCTGCGCTGCGGTTCTTGCTGGCTCACCGTCAGCCATTTTGGTCGCATGAACCAAAGTGAAAATCTGTTGCCATAAAGCAGACTCCGCGGGGCGTTCTGTGTACGTGTTGATGTGCTCGTTGCATGCTTCGTGTGCTGGTAATACTGGTCAAAGACAGCATGGATAAATTGCAAGCGGAAACATCACTTAGAGGTGTAGATTTATAGATTTTTTTGTCATCTTCTGGGCATGGAGCAGGGGCCACCGGGGGTGGGGGGCAGGTATTTGTGAATTTCCTGCATTGTGCTTGGGGTTGGACTAGATGACCCTGGGGATCCCTTCCATGATTCTAGATGAATGCAAAATCAGAAAAAAAGGCCACATGGGTTACATTCATTAGCATAATGAAAATTAAAGGGGAAGAGCAGTGAGGGAAGGAACGCCCTTCATCTCCCTACGTTTTGCCTTTAATTGCCCACCAAACAGGGACCTGTTCTCCTGTCACTCAGGGTCCTTGGAAAGAGGACCGTCCAAGCAGGAGGGGGATGCAAAGGTGTTTGAGGCGGAAATGTTAACCATGATGGGATCCTACTGATCATTCAACTTAGAAATCCTGGTTTTCAGGCTCCCCCATCGAACTCTCATCTTAATTCCGTGCCATTCTCTATTCCCTGGTGCTGGATTTCCCCCCCCTTTACACGATTCTGTTATTTTTGCACGAGAAAAAAACGCAAAGCTGTTTGCACCGCCCCAGCGGGGTAGTCCAGGCTAGCCCAATCTCGGAAGCTAAGCCGGGTTGGTCCCGGTCAGCCCTTGGATGGGCAACCACCGAGGAAGTCCCCGGTCGCTATGCACAGGCAAGCCATGGCAAACCAGGGGTCGTTTAGTAGAAAAAGAGCTAGGGGAACTAATTAGCATAACTCATTAGCATATGCCATACCCCCTGACATCACCGGAAGTGTGTCATAAGGCTACACCCCGTGACATCACTGGAAGTGTGTCATAAGGCCACACACCCCGCCCCCAACGGTCCCGGCCGCCACCGCCGGCCTTGCAGCTCCACTGCCGAGCCCCATGAGGGGCCCGGCGGTGGACCTGCAAGGCTGGCGGGAGTGCAAGGAAGCCCCGCGAAGGCCCTCCTTGGCCCCAGGCAGGGGTGGGGAGAGGCAGGGAGGAAGCAACTTACCCTCCCTCTTCTCCTGCCTCCTCCTGGCTGAATGAGGGCCGGAAGCGGGGCGGCCGGAAGCGGGGGGCGGGGCTTCGTCATGTGCCCCGCCCCCGTAC